AGAAAAACAATGACTTCATTTTACTATGTCGTAGTAAAACGGTGTGTTACCCGAACGTCTACTGGACTAAACCAACATCTAATTATCACACTCAATTAAGGGGCCCTGTAAGGGGTACAGGTAGGATCTACAATCATTTATGAACTAGCTTTACCTGTATTTATTGAAGGAGGAATTCTACAGCAACAAATATGTTTGACATCTCTTCTGAAACATGGTTTCAGCATGGAGATATTGATAAAAGATATTTATTGTTTTAACATGATTTTTTTTTTCAGGGGAAATGTATACGTAAAAATCTTGTTAAAGAATCTAGTTAAAAAATGCTAAAAAAAATTTGTTTTATTTTCATAAATAATTTTTTAGCAAAAATTAAAAAAAAAAACTTATCTGATTTTTCTTGACATTTTCTATTAAATATTTATATTATCCATTTATTTAGGGCAAACTTTAAACTGTAAATGCGATGTGAAAAAAGTTCTCCATGTTTAATATAGATTAAACAAAGCTTAAAATGTTAAAATGTGGTGTAAGTGATGCTTCAATTAAGTGCCAAGTGTTAGGTTAAAAAAAGTTATGCTTAATTGAAAATAATTTATAATAAATTATTTATTACATGTACATGTACATATAAAAAATATTTAATTGTTTAGTGCCTTCAATTATCTGATTATAGCAAGTATTTAATCAATAAATCTATGCTTTAGTACACAGTTTTATCAGTAAATATTAAATTATTTGATTTTGACTACTTTGTTCAATCAAGGTAACACAGGTAAACTCTACCTGGACCCCTTAGAGGGCCTCTTAATTGAGTGTGATAATTAATAGTTGTTTTAGCCAGTAGACGTTCGGGGAATAAACCTAGTAAAACGTATACAGGTAATACATTCAGGTAACATCCTGTGTATAAAGGTAGGTATACACAAGCTAGCGTCGTTCCCTCTGGGCTTCTCACCCGCTTCGATTAAGCTCCACCCCACACCAAACTTACCTGAGGAAAACCGACCGGTTGAAAACCTCGGCCTTTAAGTGATTAAACCTATTCTCTGAATTGACTATAAATTCTCTGTAATTAGTCGATAGGCATAATGATTTAAACATAAAATAGTATCAAACATTTTTTTTTCAATTTTTTTAGTAGAGATATATGAAGATCATTGATAACTATAAAACAGTTTTGTTGCACTTCTGACTGCAGTAAAATTAAAAATAAAAACCATACAACACAAAAATTCATAAAGTGTTGGCAACATCAAGTGGTAACGAAAATGTGCAGTATTTATAGTCCTATACTTCATAAGTAAAACACATGAAAGTATTTAAACTTGGCTTTATATCTTGAATCAAAAAAAAAAAAAAAAAAAAAAAAAAAAAAAAAAAAAAGACCCTAACTGAAATATATACATGTATTTAGAAGATAAAATATATTTCATAGTATATTTTCCTTCACAGGACAAACACTGTAAGCAAATGAGGTCAACCAGAAACATTCTACTCATCAATTATTTCTTTATATTTATTTTTATTTGATCAGCAATAATTCTAACATATTTGTTGCACTCCTGACCAAGAGCATGGGAGTCTTTAAAGTAGAATTGTGAAGCAAAAATTGCATCGGAACTTATGTTGTTTCAGTGAAGTTGAGGTGGAATTACTTGAATTTTATAACAATTTTTCAGTGTGTTTATTTTTTACATTCATAAAAAATCAAACTTACAAAAGATTTTAAAAAAATATATCTGAATTGAGAAAACAGAAAAAGAGAAGGGTTTTAATAACAAAACTGTCAATAATTTAGTACTAAATCATTCAAATAAATCATTATTAATTAAAGGATGTTTCTCAGCATGAATAGAAATCTTTTTATCATATAACTTGAATCTTTAAAAAAGTGTGTTGCACTCCTGACCATAGAAATATAGATCCTAAACACAGACAGACCCTGTATTTGATAAATCTATTTGGTAAAAATGTTCTTTGTTTCTTTATTTTCCAAAATGAAAACCAGAGAATTATAAACTGATAAAAGTTTTTTTCATGCCGGGGAGCAAAACATCAAATGTTGCACTCCTGACATTATTGGGTATGCACAGATACTTGACTTTCATTAATGCTGCTTGTGATTTACAGAACATTCTTGTAAGTTTTAAATTGTGTATCAGTTATTGTTTTACATTTTGAAAAATCTTTTTTGACTTAATTATATTTCAGATTTTTAAAATCGATGTTTTTTGGCAACACTACATTTTTTTCTGTTGCACTCCTGACATGGTAAAACATTTTTTATTCAATATTAGCCATGACCACAACTTGGTCAAACAAAAGTTGCTACAGTCTACATTTAAAGCTCAATACTTTGAATATTATCAAGAAAGTCTTTATTTCCAACTAAAACCATTATTATTTCAGGCCCGTAGGAAGCAAATTCAGTTGGGGGGGGGGGGGCACAGCCATACATTTTCAGTTGACAGTTGAGGGGGCACTACCAAAAATTTCCTGACAAGCAAAAAAACAAAAAAAAAAACAAAACAAAAAAACATAAAAAGGCCATCAGGCGTTTTTACTGAGGGGGCACAAGCATATAGTATCTATGTTTACTACAGTTATCTATATATCGGCAAAATTATTGGGGGGGGGGGGGCACGGCCCCCCCGTGTCCCCCCCCCCCCCCGGTTCCTACGGCCATGTATTTATTTCACAGATCTTCAAAAAATATAAAAATTTTAAAAATGTCACAAAAAGATGTTACACTCCAGACATTTTTAGCATCATTTTCGGACATAACTTTTTTTGTGAATTGAGATATCAATGAGCTATTTGGCAGGTATTTAGACACTATCTTAATACATATGCTGAGACATAGAAAATTGTTCCCATTGCCTGTATTTTTAGTGCAGGTTGATAAATATGCGTTTGGTCATTTTTTTTAAATCACCCTTATACTAAACTATTACATCACATAATTTTAGTTATCGGTGTTGTCATAGCTACTAATAAGTAATCAAAAGTTACAAAGCTCACCTCGACGAATGTTATCTATAAGTATAGCAAAGTCTCCAAACAAAATTGAATGTTCTGGTTGTGTGCATCCCGAGATACAACATCTATACAAGATAAGTACAGGTAAGATCCAAAGATACTTGAAAATGGACATGATCCAGAAAATTTGACTGTTCCATCACCCTGCAAATGGAAGTTCCAGCTTCAAAAGCATATATGGTAGTGTGCATACCTACTAACATGCATCATCAGTGCAAGTTCAGTCGCCATGATAGCCCAGCGGAATGGTCCTGCTCCAAAAACTTAACCGTTCACTTATCCCAAAAATATAGGTCAGATCCAGCATCCGAAACAGGTCCCTAGATGCATCCTAAACGCCAGTTTGACCCAGGTAGAGCTTACAGTTACTTGCAAATGAAACTGCTCCAAAAACTATAGCCTGTTCACCCATCCAAAAAATAAAGGTCAGATCAAGCATCCAAAGAAATCCTAGTTGTGTGCATTCCTGGATGCATCATTCATGCAACTTTATTTCAGGTCACAGTTACTTGGGAAAGAACCTACTAAAAAAAACTTTAACCTATTCACTCACCTTAAAAATGTAGGTCAGATCCAGCATCCAAAGCCAGTTTGGTATAACCATAGGGCTTATGGTTACTTTGGGATGAATCTGCTCCAAAATCTTTAACCTGGTCACTCTTCAGGAAAATTAGGTCAGATACAGCATTCCAAGCCAATCTGGAAGATGTATCATCTGTACGGTTCAGGTATGGCTTACAGTTACTTGGGAACAAACCTGTTCAAAAAAACTTTAGCCTGTTCACCCATCCACTACATGTGGGTCGGATCCAGCATCCGAAGCCAGTTTGGTAATGCACATCCCTATATATGCATCACCAATGCAAGTTTGGTAACCATAGAGCTTACAGTTACTCAGAAATGAAACCTGCTCCTAAAACTTTATCCTGCACCAAAAACATTAACCTATATATCCAGGAATTGTAGTTCAGGTCAAGTAGTGTATATCCCAAATGCATGATCAGTGCAAGTTTGGTCCTGGTAGGGCTTACTCAGGAACGAGACTTGCTCCTAAAACTTTAACCCCCAATGCTGACACCTGTGGTATACATATATCATAAGCACATCTCAACTACGTTGAGGTGAGCCTAAAACTGATGCTCCTCCTATATTTTAGTTTTGACTGTGAAAAAGCTTGGCACGAATTCATAAAGATGAGGATAAATAATTTTGTAAATGACAAACTAAAGAAAAGTGCAAACCATTAGAGCTCAAATCTCATCAGAGGCTTCCAGTTTCATTGAAGGAAGCATAGATACTTTTGATCGTTTATAATCAAATCAGTTTCATATTCTTCACACCCTAATTTTATTACGAACTTTCCCGTAAATAATACTCAATAATATATGAAGCATTAAATCACCAAATAACGGAGATGAGATTTTACTAACCCAAGTTCTTATTTGCCCCTGCCAGGACTTCACCTGGAAGTCCAGGGCTGTCAGAAGCACCAAATTATGTAACAGGAAAGGAGAAAATATATGGCTGGACCGGAAATTGAACCCAGGACCCCTGCATCACTAGTCAGGTGCCTTACCTACTGACTTTCCAGGCCAATCAAACAATTACATAACAAAAGATTTTCTAACCACAAACCTTTACTAGTCATATACCAGCAGAATGGCAGAAAAAACTTCTTGCATCCATTAATGCTTCAGTTGAAAACTGAATTGCAGCAAGTATGATGGCTGTGAAACTTATAATTTAATGTTTTAAAGCTTTGCTGCAATATCATTTTTAAATATTTTATGGCAATTTTTTTTGCAATAATAACCTGAAAGCACAAGTAAAACTGCATATTGTCTTATTTGTAAAAATATCATACTTGTTTAACTTCATTTGTAAACATTTTTTTTGTTGTTAAGGAAAACAGTCAATCAAATGTTCAGTAATGTACTGAAAAAAAGTTTTTATTATTAAATAACATAGAAATATATCAATGTTTTACACATTAACAAAACAAAATGTATACTTATTCTGATGAAATCCTACAGATGTGAACAGTTGAGTAATAAATAAAAATATTTATGCACAAGACTAAATGTTTGTTCTAAAGTCTTAATTCATGTCACACAAAACACAAAGCTTATATATACATTGAACATTAATGGCTGTTATCAAAAAATTGGGTAATCAGGTTCCATTTTCAAAGATATTAAAATTATCTGCACTTTCCTGGATTGTAAAATGATTAATACAGTATTTTAAATTACACTTTTTAAAATTATCAGGCAATTTTATTTTTCATATAGATATTAAAATAAATCTTTTTGGGAAACCATATTTCACAACAGCTGCATATAAGCCCAGTGTTGGCATGTGTGATCAATGTCATTGATATTTTTAGTAATTATAAAAAAGTGTGTAGTTCCTGTTTTTAATTTAAGCTTACATGTAGTACGTATTTTTTTTTTTAATTTTTACCTAAAAATATCATTAAAATTTAAAGGTACAAGTAATAATATATTCTAAACAACACAGAAATATGCTGAAAAACTCTACTGATCACATTTAAGATAATTATTCAAATCTGTGATGGAACAGATTTAACTTTGCTATGGGAAGAAAATTCTGTTTTCACAAAGATTCTGTAATCATTGAATTGTTCAAATCTCCAATTTACAACATATATGTATACAACCAACACTAGTATTAAATGTTTTGCATATCTTTCAATACTTATATTCTCCTCTCATTTCATAAGACCCTAGTCAAAATTCTCCAATTCTTTTTTTTCCTCATAAGATTCCTCTTGGCAATCTAACATTTTGCATTATACTTCTAGTTTCTCATCATTATCAAAAATGTATTTTAGACTAGTATTATTAAAAAAAATACAATCTCTTATTATACCTTTGTGCACCCAACTTTGCCATCATACATTTCAGGTATTGAATTTTGATCAAAATTTCTTAAATGAAATCTTTTCCCCATCACCAATATTGCACTAATATTAAATGTACCTGTTTCTGTTGTAAACTTCATATTTAAGCATTCATGTTTACAAAATCAGAGCACGGTGTACATTTTTCAATTCAAACATGTTTTTTTCTGCGACTCTACATTCATGAAGGAAAAGCTTAATTATAGCCTATCATCAAAATACACCAAGGATAATAACATTTTGTTTTGGAATGGCTATTCAATTATTATGATTTACAATCAAATGAAAGTCAATACAAACATCAAAACACTCAGCTACCACACTAATTCCTTATGTCAATAAAAAAATAAAAACACAATGCTGAAGCTACTGCATACAGGTTGTTTTTCCCCTTCTGTATAATGACCACTTGCATTCCTTTCACACCTTTCAAAATAACTTTCAATACATACCTACTTTTGCCTTTGCACTTGGACTACAAAAATACTCGCACTCCATATATATCTTAATTATTATACATATTTTGCATTATTGATTTATTTAAAAAAGCAACCAAAAAAAAAAATACATCCTGCCCATATACATATATACACAGTGTAAACAATCACGCAAATAGTTGTATCAAATAATACACAACATTCAATATCTCTAACTTAGTTTGTGCTAAATACCCACAATAAAACTGTATTACTTGAATCATCTTCTTAATGGAAGGCTCACCGACAAGCAAAGGGCAGTAACCCTGTATTTCTGTCAGAAAACTGAGAGTTTGTTGAGTTTGTTTGTTGTCCATAATGCATTGGTTCTCTAGGGAAAAAAAAATTATTGTCTACTTTGCACGGTGTCTTTATCGTCCAGACTTTGAGTGCTGTATTAGCCACTGTAATGTTATATCTGCAACAAAAGAATGTAATCATCAAAACGGTATTTCGTTAAGGCCTTAACAAAGATACACAGTGTCATTTTGGGGGTAAATAGACTTCTGTGATTCAGCTTTTGCAAATGATTTTATCACATGTATACAATTTTTATCTTTCTATTCTCTCCACTTATAAATAAATGAATGAATATTTTGAAACTCTGTGGACCTTTTCACAAAAAATCTTACGACATATTTTTATCTTAAGTGAAAACATATGATGAAAATCGTTTTCACAAAAATTCTTAAGAAAGTCGTAAGTGCAAAATCTGTCGTAACTTTACGAGAGCCCCAACCCTCTCTTAAGTATTTTACAATCGATTTTATTGTAAAAATATAACCGCAAAAAACAAAATACACGTTACATAAAACATTTTAAAGCAACTTCCAATAATATTTTATATTTTTTTCACAATCATTGTCGAAAATTTAAATGAAATACACTACAAAATATTTACGATGTAAGTTTCACTTAAGATTTTCGTATGACCTACTTTTACGTCAGACTTGCGATTGTGACGTCAGATTTTAAACTTCCTTGCTTCACAAACGATTGCATTCGATATTTGTATTCAATAATGTTTGTTTTGCTGACAAATGTTGAAAACTAAGTTTTATTTTTATTTTCACCCACTTATTTAAGGATTATAAAGCATATTGAAGTCGTTGCTAGGGATGAAGTTTGTCGTAAGTAAAATCTTAAGTTCAATCTGCTACGAATGCGTTCGTGAAAAGCACTTAAGATTTGTCGTAAGAGATTCTTAAGTTAAAATCTTACGCAAAAACTTAGGATTTTTTGTGAAAAGGGCTACTGTTCTTTTTTTTATTTGCCTTCTTATTTATTTTCATTTTAACGTTCATTCTAAGATTACACCCTTAACATTGTAATGCAACTTCAATGATCAACATAAAATCTTCTTCAATTGTTTTTCCTTTTTTCCAAATCTAGAACTCTAGTACATTTTTTTTTTGGGGGGGGGGGGGGGGGGGATAAAAAGATGCTCATATTAAGTGTAGCTAGTTCATTTTTAACGTAGGGTACCTGCAGGGTTTGACACTAACGTTAGTCCGTTAGTCTCAGACTAATACATTTTCATTCGGACTAATAAAATATGTGGCTAATTAGTCCGAATGGACCAATAAAAATTTCTGAAAAACAATATCAATAAATTACCGATGTCCGATTTTCGACAACTTTTACTGGAAAACCCCACGTGTATTTTTAGATTTCTAGCTTTTGGCGGGTAGTTACGCAATGCAGCGCTTAATTTTTCGACTGATCGATATGAAGTATAAGGTTTTAGCGATCATGATTTAGTATGACACTTTTAAGAAAGATGTTGGACGTTCTGGATGTAATGGAAAGACAAAAAAAAAAAAAAAAAAAAAAAACGAGATTGGGAATTAATGTTAAAAAACATTGATGTTTCTTTTTTTTTTTTTTTTGACGGACTAATAAAATCGCGTGCGGACTAGTAAAAGTAATGAAGCACTAGTCCGGCTGGACTAAAGCCTTAAAAAGTTAGTGTCGAACCCTGACCTGCCTTATTTCTCCATGAAAAAATGTTCAAGGACAATGAACTAATTGTAACCAGAAATCACCTTTATTCACTTACATTGGGAAAATTAATGGAAATAACATATTCATAATTAATCATGGTCTAAAATAACATTAAGAATACGTTAAATCATTACAAATTGTGTCATTAACTGTAGATTCCCATTTATACCATTTTTCTTCTAAGGACAGATCACTCCATTAGAATAAAATTACCCTACAAACAGAACTCTTTCGTGTGCAGTGTTTAGACATGTTAGAGCTTCCTTAAAATTTTCAAATTTTCAACAGATGACACATGCCACTGAATGACTCCTACAGTATACATTTACCAATATCCTCTGTATTTACAGTATACATATACTTACCAATATTTTCTGTATTTACAGTTTACATTTACTTACCAATATCCTCTGTATTTTTAGTTTACATTTACTTACCAATATTTTCTTTTTCTTTACAGGATATAGAATAACAACAGATTTCTCTGTCCTGAATGGCTGATAAATTCCTAAAAAAATAATGGTACAGCAGTAAAGTTTAACACAACCTCACAATGTTGTTAGCATACGGAACAACTTTAAAATTAATTAGAACTTCTTAAATGCAGGATCCACAGTATCTTTACCAGGGATGGGGTAGTAATTAGTTGAAATTCATTACAGTTTGCTAAGTAATAATGAGTAATCTGTAATTCTCTGTGTTTTTTTTATTACATTCAATTGTAATTTAATCAACTGTTCTAAAAAAGAAAGGTCTTATTTAATCAAGATTATTTTCCGATAACTTTTATGATAACAATAATGGTTAATAAAAAAGTTTGTTCATTTCTGTTTGTTCCAGTTCAATAAATGAATGCATGTACAACATGTAGTTGAAATGTAAATACAATTTAAGTACATGTATTGGCTTATACAACTCATACAACTCCTTAAATATTTTTCTTGATTTGTTGTGGCTTGTTTTTTTATCTTTTTGTTTTTTGGTTTTGTTTTGTTCTTTTTTTTTTTTTTTTTTTGGATTTCATTTCATTTTCAATTTCAAACTGATCTTCATTTTGCTTAATATAGGGATAAATTCATCTCAGATCATGAACACATTTATCACATAAAATTTAAAAATGACATTTTATTACATTTCTCAATTTGCCTTTTGATATATATATCATTCATCATGTTGGTTAAAATCAAAAAATGCTAGAAAGAAATAAAACTTACATTCTTTCTATTAACTCCTTTTCATCAAGTGCCCCTGGTAAGTCTCTCTTGTTGCCTAACACTAATACTGGGATACCCTGAAGCTGGGGTTTGTCTAAGAGATGATGGAGCTCATTCTTTGATGGTTCTATCTTATCATGATCTGCCGCATCTACCATGTATCTACAAATCAAAGATATTGTTTTTAGCTCACCTGAGCTGAAGGTGTTAGGGTTGGGCCAAAATAGGGGATCAAAATTTTACACTGAAATTTAGTAGGAAAAAATCTTTAAAAATCCTGCAAGAACCACTGGGCCAGAAGAGATGAGACTTATGTGAAAGCTTCTTGGGATAGTGTATATTCTAAACTGTTCAAACCATGACCCCCTCCCTCACCGAGGGCAAGATGGGGCCACAATTGGGGATTAAAAGTTTATATTGAAATATATAGGAAAAAAGCTTCTTCTGGGCTAGAAAAAGTGCAGGCTACTTAAGGGATTAAAGATTCTAAATTGTTCAAATCATTGCTCCTTGGGGTAGAGTGGGGTCACAATAGGGGATCAAAGTTTTACATTGAAATATGTAACTAAAGAAAAAATCTTTTTAAAATCTTCCCAAGAACCACTGGGCAATGAAAGATGAAACTTATAATATAAATTTTAAAATTTTCATATCATGGCCCCCAGGGATAGGGCCAAATGGGGATCAAAGTTTTACACAGGACTATCTAAGATTTTTTTTTTTTTTTTTTTTTTGGTTGAAAATCTCAAGAACCACAAAAGAATCATTAATTCACAAACATTTCCAAGTTGTGTTGATATATTTTTTTTCAAGTTCTGAATCCTTGGTTTGGAGTTGGCTTAAATCAGGATCCAATTTAACATTATGCATGCATATAGGAAAAGAATTTTCTTCTCCATAACTGCAAGGCCATGTTAGTTAAACTGAAGTATCCCCATGTTGTGTAGATTAAGAGGTCTTTTAGACCATAATATGGGGGTCACAATTTTTCATGGGAATTTAACAATCTTTTATAAATCTGAGGAGGAGCAGCAAGGCTAAAGTTACTCAGGTGAGCATTGTGGCCCATGGACCTCTTGTTTAAATTGCCTTACAGTTATTTTACTGAAAAGTTATCAACTTCCTCTCATGTAAATTAACTTACAGAATAGAATTGACCTTTGCACCCCAAACTGAAGATGCTAGGAGGATTGTCAATTGTTGCATGACACAATGTAAGTTAGTCACATTATAATGAAATGCAGTAAGTATGTTGGTTCAAGATATCATTCAAAGTAGACTTACTCCAAAGTTCTGGAGTTTAAAAGAGTACAAACTTACACAATAGCATTCACTCCACGACAGTATCTCTCCCACATTGTTCGGAATCTTGGTTGCCCACCAATGTCCCATAGCTGTAAAAACACTCATTCATCAATTTTACATATTCTTTGTCTTACTTATTACGCTAATAAAAAAATTTAACAATAATCAGTGATGATAGTCAGTATTTTAAAATTTGTATACCTTTATTGTGACATTTCCTTTTGTAATCTTTCTCATATTAAAACCAACTGTGGGAATCATATCTTCACTGAATTGCCCAGACTGTAAAAAAAGTACCATTGTTCTCGTATGACAACACTATTTTAAGTAATACATTTAAAATCATCAACAATTAAATGAGCATGTTGTGAAATATAAAATATATTATGCATGCCTTTTTAACATGTTTAAATCTTTCTCGGGATGTGAGAAGGGTATACAATGCAACCTTTATACTGAACAGTTTGCAGGGTAATGCTCGAGTATTTCCTTATGATTTAACATCAAGCATTTCCTTGTCACTCTTTCACTGAATTATGTAGGTGTTAAAGCCACATTTTTAAAACATCTAAGTGGAAAATTTAACATCTGGCACTCTTTTTTTTTAAGATGTCCAATATAGTGAAATCATTCAATTTCTTGAGGCATTAATTTTCATCATTTTCATAGTTTGAAGAGACTATTAATTCATGCCTTCCACAATATGTCAAATTTTTATATTACAGTATCATACCTGTCAAGCAATCATGAAATCGAATTCCCACAAATCAATTTTCTTCCTCAAACCATGAAAAATTTGCCCCATGAAAATAAGTGAATTTATTGTATACATTCAGGTAGACCTGAAGTTGATTTTAGAATTATATGCCTTCAAATTTTGCCTTACTAGACGCAGCATAGTTATAATGCACATCTTATCAGATACCTCATAAAGTATTAAATTTCATCGCTGCTGCTAAACCTTTCCATAAATTCATAATGGGACCTGAAATATTTATTCTAAAAAATAAATTTATCATCAAATAGGCTTAAAAATACTTCTAAAATACTGGTCTGGCAACACCTTTTTTTAAAAATAAATTTCAGATCAGAGACTTTTATTTGTACCTGCCTGATCTGAAAATCAGTAACATATTTAATGTGAAAATACAGTACAAACTCTTGATTTAGCAATAAAGCTTGAATTAATTATGTATTCAGAATAGCTTGATTTGGCTATTTTATCTCACCTTTTTTTCCTTAAATCTGTTAATTTTTTTAGCATGTACAAAAAAAAACATGACAATTAATATATGTATTATTTTTTGAAATAAACAAAATATTTTCGTGAAATATATTATTCCACAGATTCATTGAAATCTCGCAATCAGCAAAATACGATCGTATTCCCGATCTCTTTTTCTTCTTCTTTACATTACATCCAAAACGTCCAACATCTTTCTTAAAAGTGTCACACTAAATCACGATCCCTAAAACCTTATACATTGCGTAACTACGCGCCAAAAGCTAGAAATCTAAAAATACATGCGGGGTTTTCCAGTAAAAGTTGTCGAGTATTGGACATCGGCAATTTATTCATTTTGTTTTTCAGAAATTTTTATTGGTCCGTTCGGACTAATTAGCCACAAATTTTATTAGTCTGAATGAAAATGTATTAGTCTGAGACTAACGGACTAACGTTAGTGTCAAACCCTGTGCAGTGATAGTGTTCAACATCAAACTGTTCTAAAAACATGAATGTAAAAACTGCTCCTCAAATTGCTTCTCCTTATAGAGACTTTGTACTCAAAGTTTTTAAAGTTTTGGGGCTCTATGTGACCACGCAGTTACTTCTTGAATGAAATTATAAAGGAGGTCAATTATGGTCAACAAGATAATTGATTGGTAATAATTATTTATTCAGCACAATGTGAAGCAATCATGATACTTATCCATGCCTCAACGCATACAAAGTGGTTTACAGTTATCCAAACAATGGAAATACATCTTTTGCTTAAAAATATTCAACAGCTGCAATATTCAAACTATCTTTGATTAGTACATACAGTTATACATGAATAGTCAAAATCAAATACTTGCGACTTTTTTTTTTTTAATCTTTTTTCTTACAAAGAGATTTTTGTGAAAAACTGCATATAAACAGCTTTATCAAGCTATTCAGACATATTAAAGCTATATAGCTATTTCAAGCTATGTAGCTAAATCAAGAGATTGTATTTGGACCTGTACATGTATTATGGGAATCTTCAGAACGAGTATGAAGTAACGCATTTGCATATTTCGAGACAAAAACCTTAAATAAATTTTATTAAACACAACATAAAGATGGTAATCATTTAGTTACTTCTTCTATATAACATGAAAACAGGATTAAAAATAATTATCATTAGTAGGCGGAGTTATCCACTTACGGCTATGACATTAACAAACGTTGTTTTCCCTGAGTACTGAAGCCCGACCAAAGTTAATTCCATTTCTTCCTTCCAAAATAAACTTTTGAACCAGTCTAAAATTCTCTGAAAGAGGGCCAACATTTTGTCTCTAAAACTAGATGCCCAAACCAATATTTATTTTCTGATGTTTCTTCCTGCGACACACAGACAGAATAATCACATGATAAAGGGCAAGGTCATTAGAATAATTTTTTTTTTAGACAAAACGAAATATGACTCTGCACATTCATTGTCTAAGAATTTGCCATCCTATTTCAAAAATGGATAAAAGACCTTGATTAATTTCAGATCATAAAAATTACAGTACAGTGGCACAAAATGTTCCTCTTATTTCAAACTGAGAAAAAAATTTCGGGGCTCAACATACAAATCGTAAAAATATACTTCATAATCAATATTTTGCAGACGAAATCGCATGTGACAGGAACTTCGATACATAAGTCAGGTGAACGGGGGAGGGATAGAGAGGTAGAATGTTGTTCATCGTCTGTTTTCTCTCTTTCTTTGCTGCAGTTTTTGCAGATACTCCAGCAAATTGCACGTACGAAGATGTTCAAGGAAGATGGATGTTCCAAATTGGAAGCAGGGGACATGACAAGACAATCAAGTGCGACTCAGTAGCTTCAGGTAAAGTCTTTAGAAGTAATGTTGAATAATACTCACCAGTAGTTGAGTCACAGAACTTGAGTGAGAACGATGACACATAAAGATTATATGTACAGGAGATGTTAAGCCCTTAAGGACAGAAATGCTACAAACAAGCTTTTTTCTCTTTCAAAAATGAAAATAACGTGTTTAAATATGAATTGTAAAATTAATAAATTAGGCTGTATAGATTTTAGTAATATTTTTATTCGAATTTTCACTATAATTTAAAGTAGGAAAAATTTGTATAGATTATAAGGATCATGATTCCAAAATGGTAGAGTTATGAACATTACAGAAAGTATACAATTTTTTAACATTTTAGAAAATTTGCATCATTACAACCAAAATATGTCCAAAAATACATCATACCAATCCATACATCCATTTCCCCCCTAAAAATACAACATACCAATCCATGCATCCATTTTATCCCTAACATGATAACATCTGTCTATAAACTGGGTATTTGATATAATATTTCATTTTATAAAAGTTAGGTATATACGTAGATCTACAGTGGCGCCTTGTTAATCCGGACACCTCCGTCCCAAATGAAATCAACCGGATAAATGCATCTTCTGAATAAGTGAATCATTTCTTTAAAAAAAAAAAAAAAACTCTGAAAGTATGTACATATTATATACATGTACATACTGGTATCAAAGTAATTAGAAAAAAGATATTCAAATATGTTTTAAATTTACATGATAAAAAAAGGGAAAGGCAATTTTTGAGACCTAATCCTTTTTTTTTACACAAGAAATTTTACTTGCCTGCCCTGCCTTCCCTTTGGCGTATGACTGCATAGGCTGACCAAATTTTGATGTGCTACTATTTTATTTTGCCATATTTTGTAATTAATTTATTTAAGCTCATATGATGTGACAGAACTGTTCAGCATCATCATTAAAAATGTCCAAATATAAACTAACTGTGTTTATTCATTACTTAGGATTGTTAGTGGTAACTGAACACAGCAAACTAACTCAAACACGCATATATATCAGTGCAAATATTGTAAACATTCAGCATAAACACAAGCCATCTTCATGATTATTTATATTTTTTTCTACAGACACTATAAATTAAAATTTTGTTTAAAAAAATACCTTGAAAAACATATTCGACTTCTATATGTAGTGCCAGTTATGATTTTTTTTTCCAAAGTAATGTACGTTTATCATGTTTATAGACTGCATGTAGTCCATTAAATAGAAAGATATTTTCTTGAATTCATGTACTGCCTTATGAAAAAAAGACTCCAAATTCTCATAAATTTATATACCGTTAGCAATTTGATTATGAACATTTTTTTTTTTTGTAATTAATGCACAATATAAGCTAAATTCTTTGATAATTTCATAATAAACATGTTTTATTTGGGATAAACACATGCTAATTAAAGACGCTATTGCTTAGAGGTCACAGGTAACTGCCTGCACTGCCAATGTTCATACAACATATCACTATTGTAAGATACATGTGAAAAAGTCCTTCCTTGAAAATTTACCCTCCAGATAAAAGAGTAATTTTTCAGTTAGATATTGAGTTTTGAAATAGAAATCAACCGTCCGGATGTGGAACGTAATTTCCAGATTAATTGGAAAAAATTGGTTCCCAAAAAATAGGAAGGTGCAGCGTCAGGATTAACATGACACCACTGTACATGTAAAGTAAAAAGGTGTAATGTATTGCAGTCTATAAAATAATGTAGTATGTGTTTTATATAATTTAATGAGTCAGAGATGTAAATAGATAATCAGATAATAGACAATTTATTTGGAACTGTTTTGGCCAGCTATTAAGTTAATTGTTAACTTTATTTGGAAGCCCTTCTAGGAGTTGTGATACATTTCTTATTGGTTAAATTTTAATTCTAATTCTAATTATATAGATTTCCATGACACGATGGTATGATTTTTTTTTTTTGATGATAGGAATTACAATTATTTAAAGTCTGCAGGCGTGAAGAGTCTATATTTATATTAGCTAGGCTCTGATTTAATGATGCACATTGAAATGTGATAAAAGGGAAGTAAATGATGGAAACAGCTGCATGAGATGAATTTTCCTCAACATTTCAAATTTTTTCCTGATGTTAATTGGACAAATTAAAACAGATAATTTTGTACTTACACATACAAATGTATATGTACATTATTAAGCTTATGAATTTAACAATATGTTTAATACTAAAACCTAGCAATGTAACTAATATGTTTTTTGCAATTGGTTGCAAAGAGAATGAAAAGCAAAAGAAAAGAGAAACTTCTTATTCAAATTTTTAGCATTTTTAAAAACACTGTGTAAAAGTACAGTGATCTACATGTACTGATGTGCAATTATTATTTATTGAGATGTGCAATTTCTTATACTTTTTATTTAACATTATAGGTCCATTTTATTTTTAAAAAATGTCAAATAAAATCTTTGGTGATTATTTTCCCAACTAAAGACAAACTGCATGACTGACACATATATTGGAAATTTATTCCAAATGCTTTGTGTATCGATGCATATCAATATATTGAATCAGCCGTAGCATTTAAGGACTTACATTGTATGTGCACTAATGGCTTATAATTTGTATTGAGCTAATATTATTGTAACAGTATGCATTTACCTATATCTAATATACATAAAATGTATTTATGCTAAAAGGATATGTGATGTACAGGGTTCTAAAATAATATTGCTTTGAGAAGTTTAAAACATGGTCAGAAGTAATGAGGCAGTATACTTTTTATTCCAGTGGAGTCCACTTTTTATGTGACCTTGAAGTTTCCTGATGTAGCCATAGATGACCAAGGAAACACTGGTTTCTGGACACTAATCTACAACCAGGTATGAAATACTGAATTATTATGATACTGAATTTATGTGCTGCAGTAATTGATAAAAAATTTAATTCATTTTGTTATGAAATTTATGTCCCCCAACCACCCCATCCCCAGTTGAATTATGACAACTAATAGACTCGCAGGGTCAATTGATATAAGTACAGGATTATTGATATGAGCATTCTGTGGGTCCCAGTATCACTCTTTGTTCTTCAGTAATCAATAAAAATTAACTCATGATTTATTTTTTTTTTTCATTTTAACGAGCTCTCTGAATGTGACAAAGAGTATACTGATTATTTTACTAATCAATATTTTGTTGAAATTTTAGAGTTTATAATTTGTACATACTTCATTCACATGATTGCAGGGATTTGAAGTTAATATAGGAGGAAGAAAATATTTTGCGTTCTCTGTCTATCAAAAAGTTGGAAGAAATGTGACTAGCCAGTGTGGAAAAACATTGCCAGGTTGGACACATGATGTATTGGAAAGAAACTGGGCCTGTTTCCAGGGTCAGAAAGCTACACCTGTTCCCCCGAAGTATCATGCAATCCCAGAAAGACATTCATCTGAGTATTTTCAAAATTTTAATTCTCATTTGAGTTGCTTGGGCAGCTCTGAATAAAATTTTTCAGTTTAATTATGAAAACATCTAAATCTTTTGTTTTTCAATAAAGACTCCAGATTTGTTGTTAGTTTGAGGGCATGTAGATGGTATCCAATTATTAGTACCAATTTGCCATCTTATAAAATTATGGACAACTAATTTTTTTCTAAAAAATATTGGTTACTTTCTTTGCATGGGCTTAATTTTGTTGTTTTAAATATAAACATATTAGATATTTAACCGTAAAAAATTTCACCTGGGATTTAATTCCACAGATAAATGATTTAATTCCATTGATAAATGTAAGCAAAATAAATGGAATTTAAGGAAGCTAGCTCTAAACAAATTGCACAGTGCAGAGTTCTAATTCTGTGATGGTAGTTTTATGCAGAGTGATCTGCCTGTAGACGTAAAATAGATTAAATAGAAATATACAGTGAATGGCACAATTTAGACAAAGAATTAAATACATGTACTTTATTTGCATGAATTGTATTTTCCCTATGAAAGTAAGCAAAAGTGAATTTTGTTCTCTAATACTTTGTAGTGGACATTTTTGCTGAAAAATATGGCAGGTACTTTATGTTGAAATTCATGAATGAATTATTAAATAAACAATATATACACCTTTATTTGATAGTAATTTTTGCGAAGTCCAAAAAACTTTTACCTTGTGTTAAGAGCTTCCTTCATGCAGTCCCAAGAAGTAGTATTGCATATACATGTACCTGTAGGTTGCCATATGATGTTATAGTAACTGCATGGATATCAAGAAATGCTTGATACCCATGAGGTATACTTTATTGGCTTTTAAATCATAATTATGCTTCTTCTCTTTAAGACTTCTTGGACGTTTGAAGTTCAGAACTAACTATGATTTCATTGCCCAAATCAACAAGAAACAGAATTTATGGAAGGCTGTAGCATACAAGGAAATGGAGGACATGACACTAGAAGATTTAGTGAGAAGAGCTGGTGGCAGGAAATCAAAAATCATTGGGTATATAATGTTTACAATTAATTGCTAATTATTTAACATGTAACTGAATACTCCTTTGAGGAGTTTATCAAATTCAAGTGCCTCAAAAGATGCATAATTGTGTTAAATTTCAGCAACCTTTGTAGATTTTATGAATAATGTAAATAAAAATGTGTTCATAAAACTTTAAAGTCTTTTGGTGTACAAATATTTCAAATTCTAGAAAAATTTTTCCATACTTTTAACCAATAACCCCCAAGTTTTTTCCAGGGGGTCAATGTTTGTTTATTACCGCGGTACATGTTATGTATATATTTATGAGTAGTGCATTCGTCATTACATTGTTTGCTTCTTGGGTGTTAATTACGGTGTACTTTGCCTTTCTCTAATGTCCTGGAGAAATTTGATTAAGGGTATCATAAGTCAGTTTCAGTCCCCATGATCCAATATGTATTATTGTATAAAAACTTTATACCTGTAACATTGCTGAGTTTTATATAAATGTAGAAATAACACTTGTACAGTCAGCACTAACATTTTTAGCTCACCTGAGCCGAAGGCTCAAGTGAGCTTTTCTGATCACATTTTGTCTGTAGTCCGTCTGTCCGTCCGTCTGTCTGTAAACTTTTCACATTTTCGACTTCTTCTCAAGAACCACTGGGCCAATTTCAACCAAACTTGCCACAAAGTATCCTTGGGTGGAGGGGATTCAAGTTTGTTCAAATGAAGGGCCACGCCCTCTTTCAAGGGGAGATAATAAAGAATTAGTGAAAAGTTAATAGCATCTTTTAAAAATCTTCTTCTCAAGAACCACAAAGCCAGGGAAGATGAAACTCATGTGGAAGCATCCTCAGGTAGTGTAGATTCAAATTTGTTCAAATCATGACCCCTGGGGGTAGGGCGGGGCCACAATGGAGGATCAAAGTTTTACATAGAAATATATGGGAAAAACCTTTAAAAATCTTCTTCTCAAGAACAGCAAAGCCATGATTGGTCATATTTATATGGAAGCATCCTCAGGTAGTGTAGATTCAAGTTTGTTCAAATCATGACCCCCGGGGGTAGGGCGGGGCCACAATGGAGGATCAAAGTTTTACATAGAAATATATAGGAAAAATCTTTAAAAATCTTCTTCTCAATAACAGCAAAGCCCTAATTGATCATATTGATATGGAAGCATCCTAAGGTAGTATAGATTTAAGTATGTCCAAATCATGACCCCTGGGGGTAGGGTGGGGCCCCAAAGGAGGATAGAAGTTTTACATAGAGATATATAGGAAAAATCTTTAAAAATCTTCTCAAGAACAGCAAAGCCCTGATTGATCATATTTATGTGGAAGTATACTCAGGTAGTGTAGATTCAAGTTTGTTCAAATGTTGCCCCCCTGGGGTTGGGTGGGGCCACAATGGAGGATCAAAGTCTGAAATAGAAATATATAGGAAGATTTCTTCTGATGAAGAACTGCAAAGCCATGATTAGTCATTTTGATATGGAAGCATCATCAGGTAGTGTAAATTCAATTTTGTTCAAATGATGACCCCCGAGGGTAGGGTGGGGCCCAATAGGGGGATAGAAAGTTTTACATAAGAACACATAGAAAAAATATTTCTTTTCAAGAACAGAAAAGCTATGTTTAGTCATATTGATATGGAGGCATCTTCAGGTAGTGTAGATTCAAGTTTGTTCAAATGATGACCCCCGAGAGTAGGACGGGGCCACAATGGAGGATCGAATGTTACATAAGAACATATAGAAAAAATATTTCTTCTCAAGAACAGAAAAGCTATGTTTAGTCATATTGATATGGAAGCATCCTCAGGTAGTGTAGATTCCAGTTTGTTCAAATGATGACCCCTGGGATAGGGAGGAGCCACAAGGGGGGATCAAATTTTTACAAAGGAATATATCAGAAAATTTTTTTAAAATCTTCTCAAGTACAACAAAGCCATTTGTTATTTTGACATGGAAGCATCATCAGGTAGTTTAAAATTCAAGCCCCCCCCCCCCCCCCCCCCCCCCCGGAATCTTTTCAATACTGAACTGATTTGTGCTTTTGCCTATCCACTGTGCTCAGGTGAGCGATGTGGCCCATGGGCCTCTTGTTTTTTTTTTGCATTAATTAACATGATTAAGATAGAACGATTTTTGATTCATCTCTCATGCCAGGACACCAAAGCCAGCTCCAGTAAGTGAAAAAGTAAAGAGAATGGCCAACAAACTACCAGAGTCATTTGATTGGAGAACTACAGGATTTGTCTCCCCTGTCAGGAATCAAGGTCTGGTACTTTATAATTCCAAGTGTTTTAGACCAGACTTATTGTGTGTGATAGTTATATTATAATTGAGTTTATGATAACAATGTGATTTGTAGGAGGATGTGGCAGCTGCTATGCCTTCTCTTCCTTGGCAATGAATGAAGCTCGCTGGAGAATGAAAACCAATAACACAGAGCAACCAGTTTTCTCCACACAAGACATTGTAGAATGCAGTGAATATTCTCAGGGTAATTCAAAAAGTCCCTTTTATTTATTAATATATTGAAATTTTAGTAAAAGATAAATGCATTTGTGAAAGGAATAATTGATTACAAAGTGTGTTGGATCAAAACTCAGGATTTTTTTTTTTTTTTTTTTTTTTTTTTTTTTTTTTTTTTTTTTTGTATACCATAAATGAGTTGTTTTTTCTCGTTTGTTTTTAGGTATAAGATAACACTTCAAAGTCAGTTTTCTTTTAACAGACTACTATATTATACCATGCTTATTCCTGTACTTCAGCTTTCTTTCCTTACATGTTCCTTTTAAATAATAGGGTGTGATGGTGGATTCCCTTACTTAATTGGAGGAAAATACGCAGAGGACTTTGGACTTGTGGATGAAAAATGTAATCCTTACAAAGGAAAGGATGGAAAGTGTTCCACCGACCAGAGCTGTCCCCGTCAGTATTCTTATAGATATCAATATGTGGGAGGATTCTATGGAGCGTAAGTTATAATTACTGATTATAATTATGATTATAATTACTGGTAGACATGTTCATCAATTTTTCTTCCAAGCATGCATGCATGTTTAAAATCAATGTTGCAAAACTTCGAAGTGGTTGGTTTGGTCATCCTCAATAACAAGTTTTGCCAGAAAAATTCCATGATTAATGTAATAAATGATATTCCAAAGATATCTTTAAGACCAGTAATTTCCTTTCTTCTCAATATTCATATAGCTGTCGATTTTCAGAAATTAAAAAAAAAAACACTCAATTTGAGATTGTATTTTGTCCACAGTTCTTTCCAGTAATCTAAGTTTTAATTTGGTTTTGATTTGTTTTTCCTACTCATGGTCATTTTGCTTTAATACAGACCGAACCATCCATCAATTACTTCAGTATTAAATTTTTCTGTTTAATTTTCAGCTGTAACGAAGAGCTTATGATGATAAATCTGGTGAAGAATGGCCCCATGGCAGTGTCATTTGAAGTGTATAATGATTTCATGCATTATAAAGGTGGAGTGTATGTCCACACAGGACTTCAGGAAAAATTCAATCCATTTGAGATCACCAACCATGCAGTGCTACTGGTAGGATATGGAGTTGATGCAGCCTCTGGCGTCAAGTTCTGGACAATAAAGAATTCCTGGGGGACAAGTTGGGGAGAAGATGGGTACTTCCGAATCAGAAGGGGCACTGACGAGTGTTCTATTGAAAGCATTGCTGTTGAATCATTCCCCCTCTACTAAACACTTTTTGACCAGGTGTCTCAATTTTATATTATGGATAAGAAAAAATCCTGTGTCTTTTTTCCTTAGTTAATTAATATGATACAGAATTATCTTACATATGTTTTAAAGTCCAAAAAAAAAAATCAAAACAGATAATGTCTGTTAAAGAAGATTTGCACTTAAACTAAATAATCTCAGTGCTGCCTTATAGGTTATAATATTTTAGTGCTTCTAAAGAGCAATAAAACCTAGGTGTGTGCTCAACTGTTGAAGTAAAATTATTTGAAGTACTGTACATACATGTATGATACAAAGTATTTAATTTATACGTTTTCATTCAGCTGTGATTTTATATTAATATCTTATTATTTCTTTTTCTACATTTTTCACTCACATTCCGGTAACATATTTAAATTATATAAGATTAATTGTAATTAAGGGATTCAAAATCAATTTAACCAAGGTGCACAGTATGAACTGCGGCTTTCTATGAGCAATTTTTTTAACACAATCTTTTCACTGTGCATTAGTAAGTATATACTTTACTCTGAGAAATAAATAAAGCTGACTGTGTATTACATTAAATATAGAATTTGTGCAAATATTTGAGTGCTTTTTCTAAACTGGCATTCTGTCATGTTTCCCCGGTTTTATATTTCATTTGTTGTATTGTTCTACATGAAAACAATTTTGATTGTAAATTTATTATATTTTCAGAATTTTCCTAAAAACTTTATTTATATAAATAAATACATCTAATTGTATCATTTTGTGTTCTTTAAAAGAAGGGGGAAAATGAATTTTTAATGCTGGCATATGGGAAAATGTTTTAGAAAATGTGCATTGTAGAAGCAATGCAATCGAATTGTTTCCTTACTAAATGAAGATCCTAAAGAAATTATATCCAGCATGAGCATTTAGCGTGAGATTTGTCCCCCTAGGACTTTAAGGACAGTCCCCCCCCCATCCCCCCCCCCAAAAAAAAACAGACTACAAAGATGCCCCATATTATTTATAAAAATTCTTGATATGCATATTTAAATTAAAAGGACCTTGGTAATGGTAATACTTTATTGTTCATGCATGACAGGATCATTACAGGGTTTCTTGAAAGGAGGGGGGATTCAAAGAGTACATATACATGTACCTCCTCCCCTCAGCCAGATTTTTCCATAAATAGGTATTAATATTTTGCTGAGTTATGGTGAATTCTGAAAGTCTTTTCTACTCAAACATTAAATAAACAAAATTCAGCAGATATCTTTAAACAGATGAATAATGAATTTGTTTTAAAATGAAATTTTTGAAATTTTTTAGGGCACCTGAGTCACTCAGGTGACCTATTGCGATCTGTTTTGTCCTGCGGTGTGTGTCTTCCGTGAACATTTGAACTTTTTCAGCTTCTCTGGAACCACTGAACCAATTTCAACTAATTTTGGCATAAAACGTCTATGAGTAAAGCATATTAAAATTATGAATTTCATTGTCCCTGCCCTTCTAGTGCCTGAGGGGCTAAAATCATAAAAATTAGTGCTTTGTTTTAAGAGTCTTCTTATTCCTGGACATCAAGCAGTCAAGCTGTTGGCATGATTGTAATTAGCATTGAACCCTCTACCAAATTGTGAAATTCATGGCCTCAGGGTCAGTGGTTCTGGAGTTAGGATGGGGCTCTTAGATCATATAGTGAAAATGCAGATTCTTTAAAAAGGTTCTTCTCTTCCCCTGTATATTAAGCAGATATACTACATGCATAGTTACATGTATGATGAACAAGGGTGCCTCTTCCATAATTATAAATTTCATGGTCCTTGGATCAGGGGTTAGGGTGGGGCTCTTTTGATTATATAATGAAATGCATTATTACTTTGAAAATCTTCTTTGCTTCTGGGTATTTAGCAAACAAACATGTGCATAGTCATGATGAACAAGGATGCCTCTTGCAAAAGTGTGAATTTCATGGTCCCTGGGTCAGGGGTGCTGGTATTAGGCTGGGGTTCTATTGATGATGTAATGAAAATGCATTAATTCTTTGGAAATTTCCTCCTCTGCTCCTGGGTATTAAGCAGATAAATTAAGTGCATAGTATGATGAGCAAGGATGCATCTATAATTTTGAAATTTGTGGCCCCTTGGTCAAGTGTTCTGTTGTTGGGCAGGGCTCTATTAATTTGTATTCTACTAAAAAAAGTTATTCCCCTTTGCTATTCACCTATGATAATTAATCACTGTAAATAATGTAATTGAAAGGTGAATTTCATAAGAGATTTGTACAAGAATTTTCATAATATAAAGAGTAATTTCATTATTCTTAATGGTCAGGTAGACTTGTGAATAATAGATAAACAAAAATGAGACAAAAAAACATCTTTATACATTAAGTGTTCTTCAAAGACAAGAGAGGCTTGTCTGAGGTGGGTTTACTAAAAGACCTCAAGCATTATTGTTTCGTTTAGTTTAAAAGGGTAACTACATGTAATAGATTTATTTTAAAGATTTACTTATTAAGGAGCACTAGACTTATTATGTTGTTGATCCCTTATCATTAAATTTCTTGCTTTTGAGCAACATGGTTAATCTTTCAGTTTGTTTTATTTTATACTTCTATGGATCTTTTACAGTGTTGAATTATACTCAGGTGAACGTTAAGGTCCTTGGGCCTCTTGTTTAACGGAGGAATCGGGCGATCGCACCAAATACACTCCCCTCCCGACGGCTTTTCGAGACTATGAAAAGTTGACCGGGTGGAGTAACCTTTGTATTACGAAGAAGACGATTCTCCTCTCTTGTCCGTTATTATAGGTCACAGAAAAAGACTTCAAATCAGCCTCGAAATATGGATTCTAATTTTGTTATGAATACAACGGATATTAGACGGAAGGGGTTCATGAGGAAAAGAAAACCTTTTTTACAACTGACTTTAATTAAGCTTCATCTAAATTTTGAAACTACTTCTCATTCTGAAGTTCACGTGTGCACAGTCAACTACGAGTGTTCAGTATCTTTATCAGAAATAACATACACAATAGTATTTATAATTATTGATTGATAATTCTTTATAGTCATTATATATATTTTTGTCGGTTAATTTGAGAAATGATATCTTTTTCAGAAATAACGCATATAATATTTCTGAGGCCATCTTTAAAAAATTGTTAGGTTGCCCTCTCCGGAGCGATAGGCTAAAAATCACCAAACTCAAAACCTTTTTTAACCTCCAGGAAGCAGTTATTTTTTATGTATTCTGGAAAATAGATTTTAAAAATTTAGCATTGACATTGAAATTTTCTTACATACCTACCGACCCATTTTTTTCATCCTGAGTCGGAAGTGGGCAAATGAACATTATTTTAAGGTCAGCCTGATTAATATTTTTTTTAATTATTATTATTAATCATTGTGTACTTTTGTCAGTTAATTTTTGTGTTAGAAGGATTTCTTTTATTGTGTCAGTTTTAATGTGTCAGTCGTCCGTACGTCTGTCTGTCTAGCTGTCTGACTGTCTGTAAACATTTTTTTCAAAATGCTACTCCTCCGACAGTTTTGGTCTGATTTCAATATAACTTGGCACAGACGTAGACTATACTAAGATACATAATTCTGATATTCGATTTCGATAAACGGTGTTGCCATGGTTACTAGAAATAGAATAGAAATAGGAATTGTGAAATTCATTCAAAACGCTACTCCTCTTGGAGTTTTTGTCTGATTTCAATATAATTTGACACGTACACAAGTAGACTACAAAAGAAACATAATTCTATATATCGGTTTTTTTATTTCGATGTACGGTGTTGCCATGGTTATTAAAATAGAAATTTCTTTAAAATTCTTTTAAAATGTACGGCGCCGTTGGAGGGCAAGATAAAAAATATATTTGTTCGAACAAATTAGATATTCGTTTGGACAAATTAGATATTCGTTTGGACAAATTAGATATTTGTTCAGACAAATTAGAAATTCGTTTGGACAAATTAGATATTCGTTTGGACAAATTAGATATTTGTTCAGACAAATTAGAAATTCGTTTGGACAAATTAGGTATTTATTCGTACATGTACGAATTAGATATTTGTTCGGACGAATCAGAAATTCGTTCGGACGAATTAGATATTAGTCCGGACAAAATTAGATATTTATTCGGAAAATTAGATATTTGTTTGGACTAATTAGAAATTCGTTTGGACGAATTAGATTTTCGTTCGGACAAATTAGATACTAGTATTCGTTCGAACAAATTACATATTTGTTCAGACAAATTATAAATATTTGTTCGGAGGAATTTAAAATTCGTTCGGACAAATTAGAAAATCATTCGGACGAATTATAGATATTTGTTCGGACGAATTAGTACTTTGTTCAAACAATTTTTGTGTGACTTTGGACAAATTGTTTGATATTAAGACTCAACCCCTCTTGCAAGATTATGAATATATATTACAGAGTGGGTTAAATCTAGGAATTTTTTTTAGATTAATACACGCGTACGCACCAAATTATGTGGCTGTTTGAACCAATAACATATACACGTTGGAAAAAGACATGGGATATTAAAGTCAGATAAGTTGATTCCGATTATTCGGAAATGCTAGTTCAAATGGTCCGCTACTCCATTATTTATAGGTAAATCAAATGCAATTTAATGATCTTACTAATTAAAATGTAGCTATAGCAAGTGCTCACGTTTCTCAACTTCTATGAGAAAAAAGGGGAGTTTCCCCACTCCCATACCTGCAATCTGATTAAAATCAGATCCTTTGATCCGCTCACATAGATCGCTACACAAGCTTATATATATCAGATTTGAGGCGAATTGCATTGAAATGTAATGCATTACATTACCATTACTTCAAGAATTTGGGCATTAAATTACCATTACCATTACTCTAATTTCTTAATGTAGTACATTAAATTAACATTACTTTAGCAAAGTAATGCATTACCATTACTTTTGGAGGTTTTCAAAAATAAAAACACAAAACTTTGCAACTACATGTATTTTCATAAACATGCATCCTGTCCCTTTAAATCTAAACGTGATGAATGATATAATTCAATTTTATTTCAAGGATTTGTATTTTAATACATTGTAAATAATTTACATATCTTTTTATTATTCAAGTTCAAACTTATCAATTGCAAATAAGATACATATGCACTTTGTGTGTAAACGTTGATATCATATTAAATCAATTAACTTTTTTATGCAATTTACCCCCTCCCCAAAACTAAAACTAAACTTCATAAGACATTTAAAGATTATGTGGATCTAGACAAAAATTAAATGCATTGACACACTTGTAAAAAAGGTTGGACAATATGTACATTTTGCTCTGTTAAAAGTATATTGCCTGTCTTCTATTCCTATATTCCTTTTGGTGCAATGGATTTGATATGGTCAGATCAAGCTAGACTACACGGACAGTAGAGAGTAGTTCTCAAAACAATACATTGTTTTAATAAGCTTAGAGGCATTGCGTGTTTTTCTGACACTCTATTCAAAAGGTGGCAATTATTATCATTTCAACGTGTACATTAATCATACCGGAATTATGTTTTAAAGGATATTTGAAACAAAAAATTTTTTTTAAATATTCTTTGAAATTAAATGAAATCTGAAATAAGTATGAAAATTTAATTGTGTTGTAATTGTACTTTTAACAGAATAAAAAGGATATTTAAATAGATGCAGAGACTTTATGTATTTAAATAGGTTAACTTTTTTCATTCATTTCTATTATTTAAAAAAATATTTAAAAAATAATTAC